GTGGTTTTTTTATGATGTGGGACCATATTTTTGGCACTTTTGCCTCCCCACCAGACCAGTGTCCTCCCGTGGGTCTGATGGGGCAACCCCAGCTGCATGGCAATCCCATACGGGTGGCTTATTCGGGTATGTTGCAGCTGGCTTACGAGTGGCGGCACAACCGCAGCTGGCGCGAGCGCTTGAAGATTATTTTCGGCCGCAGTGATTATGTGCCGCCTCTTAGCAAGGATTACGCTCTGGCGTAAGTAGTTTATCTGTCCGCGAAGGCCGGCAGCGGTCTTTTTCCGGTGTGGCAATGCGTACAATGCGCATTTTGCCTTTGCCTTGGCGTATGTCTGATTTGTCCCACTTTTTCCCTTCTGCCCAACAGTTGCGTGCTGCGCATGTATTGGTGGTGGGCGATCCTATGCTGGACCGCTATTGGTATGGTGCGGTCGAGCGCATCAGTCCCGAGGCTCCTGTACCCGTGGTGCGTGTGGAGCGCACGCAAGAGCGCATAGGCGCTGCGGCCAATGTGGCCTATAACGTGGTTACCCTGGGTGCGCAAGCCAGCTTTATTGGTGTGGTGGGCGAGGATGAGGCCGGCGCTTTATTGGAGAAGCTTTTGCAAAGCAGTGGCATTAATACCTATTTGGCGCGAGATGCGGGTTTGCAGACCACGGTGAAGTTGCGCGTGATTGGCCGTCAGCAGCAATTGCTGCGTCTGGATTTTGAAAACACGCCGGATCACGAGGTTTTGAGTGCCCAGATGGATGTCTTTGGCCGTTTACTGCCAACGCATCAGGCTGTGCTTTTCTCCGATTACGCCAAGGGGGGGTTGACCCATGTTGCGGCGATGATTGCCCAGGCGAAGGCGGCAGGCAAGCCCGTACTGATAGACCCCAAAGGCAGCGATTACAGCCGCTACCGTGGTGCCACGGTGATCACGCCCAATCGGGCTGAGTTGATACAGGTGGTGGGCCAGTGGCACAGCGAGGATGACTTGCGCGTGCGCGCCCAGCGCCTGCGCGAAGAACTAGAGATAGCCGCCCTGGTACTCACCCGCAGTGAGGCGGGGATGAGTCTCTACGACAACAGTGGCGAGCTGCACGTGCAGGCGCAGGCGCGCGAGGTGTTTGACGTCACCGGTGCGGGCGATACCGTGATT